AGGAGGTCTATTCATTCTCTGAGGAAATGATCTCTCCCTTGGGACACACGGCTTCTTGGAGTTTCTTCAGACTTGGGCATCTGCCCTCAGCACTCAGGCCTCTGGCTGTCTCTAGAGAGGAGCTGAAAACCATAACCAGCCCAGCCAGCCCGTGGTGATGTGCTTTGAGCTGTGAAATTCTTTCCTGAAAATTAGTGCAGTTGCAGCTGCAGGGGTGGGGAGCATTTATTTGCAAAATGTTTCCTCGGCTAACACTGCTTTGGCTCAGGCACACTAGCACTTTCCAGGATCTTGCAGATGGTGAGGCAGCTGGAGAGGAAGGGAGGCAGGGAAAGCAGGGAGGAAAGTGTATGAGTGGGACCAGCTCACAGGTAGAGTTGCAACAGGCACCTGGATGTGGCCTGTATGAACACTAAGTACATACTACCCTGCAGAGGCATTGGTACCATCTAGGCTGTGGACCTGTGATCTCTCTCTCTGTGTCTGTCCGTCCGTCTGTCCGTCCATCCATCTGTACATCCATTCATCTATATCTATCTCTATCTCCTCTAGCTCCAGGATTTTCATAGCCCAAGCTGGCTTCAAACTCTCTTTGTAGCCAAGGATGGGCCTTGAACTCCTGATTCTCCTGCCTTTTCCTCCAGAGTGCTGGGATTACAGGCGTGTTCCACTCTACCCAACTGTGAACCCCAGACAATGTCCCTCTCCTAGGCTCCTGAAGCGTTGGGTTCATAGACTAAGTTCATGCAGCCACACATGGGGAGGCTCTGGGACTCTTCTTGGTGGTGACTTGGGTATCCTGGGCACTGGGAAGCTGCTCTCACCTGGAGCCAGCCTCCATTTCTTAGGGTTATGAACTTTCAGTTCACAATAAGTTATAGTTGCCATCAGAGGGCCAGCTACCTATCTCAAAGACGCAGAAGGTTCACTTAGCGCTTGCACTCCGTGAAGCCATGGGTGACCCCCCACCACCCATCTCCACAGCGGACCCAGTTCTGGGAAATTTTGTCAATTCAGGATATACACAAAGGAAGTGAGTACATGCTCTCTGCCTTTTCACAGGTGGGCCCCACCTTGGAGAGATGTGACCTGAAAATTTACTTTGGTCCAGCCACCCTGGAGCAATGTGTAAGATGCCCCAAAGCTGGTGAAAAGTTCCAGCATTCTCCAGCCTCCAAAGTAGCAGCTTTCCTCCAGACTACTCACCCAGACAGCGTTGAGCTGCAACCCAGGCTGCCCTTTGTCGCCCAAGTTCTGCCTGATCCCAACCACCAGCGTCTAGTCCAGTAGCACAAGAACTGCCCTGGCCAAGATGTGCTCCCTGGCTTTTGAAGGTCTCCAAGACAAGAGGGTATGGTCAGGCAGGGAAAGGCAGGCATAAGCCTCCAACAGCCCAGGCTGGCCCCAGAAGTGGCTGCTTACTTGTGGCCTCCAGGGGCAGCTGAGTGGGAAATTGGTTTGTTGGTTTTCTACACTTCCTCCAGACTTCCCACAGAGTCCCCTTGGACCCTGGTGATGAATTGCCTAGGGTTTAGAGAAACTTTCGGTGCTCCAGCACACAGCCATCTTTGTGAGAAGGTGGTAGCACTGGGTGGGGGGAAGGGAGCCAGGCCAATGCTATGCTAGAAACTGACTGAGGGGATTCCTTGGCCAGCTCCTCTCCCCACACTGGATGGGGACTAGGAATAAGCAGCTAGAGTTGGGACAATGGAGACAGGAGGCGCCTGAGCCTGCAGAGACCTACACCCTGTTCCCCACTGCCCACACCCAGCTGTGGAATCCACAGATTTGGAGCAGGACGGGAGGCCTCAGAGAAGAAGAAAGGGCGATAAAAATCGGTTCAGTGAAGCACTGTTGCCAAGTGACTCCCTGAGGCTGGAGGCTGCTCTACCTCCCTGGGCCATCTCTAGCAGAAGAGATGCTCTCAGTGCGGCGTCCCAGAAATGGCACTGTTCTTCCCAGCTTCACCCATCACTTGATAACATTCTCATCTCCCATCTCCCTAGGGGGTCAGGCACCAAGAGAGGGGTTCCAGGTACAAAGATGAGCAGCCCTTTCCTCTGTGTGATGGTCTCCATTCCCAGTCTTCCTCTCCCCATCCAGCATGCCCACTCTGCCAAGGTAAGGCAGAAGGCTCCTAGTACTCACTTGGACCTCACCCAGTATTAGCTGGCAGGGGAGGGGTGTCAGCTGATCTCTGCTCATCCAAGGTCTCTTGCATCCTTTTAAGGGCACCTACTTTTCTCATATCATGGATGCCATCTCAGAGGCTCCAGTTAGACAAAAATCCTGCCCCTGAAGGAGTGATCCTAACCCTCAGAAATTAGAGGAACAGGACATTAGACATTCTAAAACCCCAGATGACCAGTGTGGCAACAGTTCCTCGGCTCATGAGTTTAGGCATCCATTCTTGGCCCTCATGTCCTCATGTGCCCAATGGGATCAGGCAGCTGACACTCTCTGGGCCCTGTGTACACAAGCACAACTGGGGACAGGGCAGGCCATTGTTGTCATCTGCACCAGTTGCCTGGCTCTGTCCCACCTGTCCCTTCTGGTGGTCTGAAGACTCCAATTCTACAAGGCACATGATACGGCATAGGAAGGACCGCTATGACCACGACCCCTTATGTTCACAGGGAAATGGTGGGGTGAGGAATAAGTTCCTCAGATAGTAGTTTATGCTGTCAAGGGGTAAAGGGGGACGGAGTATAGTGACCCACTGAAGGGCAGATGACTGACAGTTCAACCAGGGGACAGTCATAAGGGCCAGTTTGTGTCTCCATTCTCAGTCGAGTAGGGAATTGACTTTCATGGAGTTACTGTATCATGTCCCTGCACTCACCCAAACCTCCAGCTTCTTGACTCCAGAGCCACACCGAAAGCTCTGGGAGCTGGGTACCACCCAGCCCTTGGTTTCCATGGCTCCAGAGAGACTATGGAAAAAGACGTGCAGGTTACAAAGTATCACCGGTGTTTCTTGCTTGTTGCTATGGAGGCCTTTATAGATGGTTGGTATAGTGAAGCCAGCACACCTCTAAAATCAGACTCTCCTGGTTCAAAGCCTGGCTTGGTCTCTTACTAGCTGTGTGATTTTGAAAGATTCTGTGGCTCAGCTTCCCATCTGTAAAAGGAGGTGAAATGGAAATTCTAGAGGAGTATAATGGCTTAAGGGGACAGCATCAGTGGAGCTCCAGAAGGCATGACAAAGGGGACAAGGGGGTAGGAGAGGGGACTAGCTACTGAATTCTGTCCGAAATTGAGGTAGCCAAGCACAAACCCCCTCCTCTTTCCTCTCGGCACTCCTCAGCACTCCTCACACAGTTTGCTAATCCTGGCATTTAGGACCCCGGAGTGTACACTGCTGCCATTCAATATTCATCAGGAACAGGAGAGGGGACTGATGTGTTTCTTCTCAGTGACAGGTCAAGGTCACCCCCACATCTTTGTGGACTGTCAGTCCCAACTGCTGGCAGCCCCAGTTCCAGGAAGCTCACACCAGCCGTCACAGAAGAAAGGACATGGACACTTAGTACAGACACCATGATCTCCCCCCTCACCACCACTGTCTCGTGCTAACAAGTCAAGCCCCTGCTTCTACTAGATTCTTGCAGTCACCTTTTTCCAGCCCTGCCAGCAGGAGCCAGCAGGGGTAGATGACCCAAATTCCACACATTCCCCCCCCCCCAGGGACTCCATCCCAGCATGTGCCCACTAACCTCTTTTCCACTAGCTCACCTGTCCCATGGCCAGGGCATGGGAGGAATAACGGAATCTACTCAAACTGTCCACCGCAGAGCTCCCTGTGTCTACCAGGTGGCACACAACCTCTCCAATCCCATTCCATCCCCACTCAGCCAGATGCTGAAACGGAACCTTCCTCCGTCTGGTGAGGGAGGGGTAACCATGAGAGGCACCGTGGGTCTTGTCACTTGGGTCGTTTCCCCAAGAGACCAGGTAGGGCTTTCCGCAGCCAGTCAGGCCTTTTCCTCTCCAGAAGATCAAGTCAGCCAAGGCTAACTGAACTCCACTCACATCAAAATCCACAACCTGCATTCATTACCGGTGCCAGCCACCGCCTGGCAGCCACTGACTAAAACTGTGCCCTGCACTGCCCGAGACCCAAGAAGATCCTTGGGACACGATAGGATACTATGTATCCTGGTGTAAGGAACATTGGTCTTCCCAACAGGCCTCGTTTCAAAACCCTGACTTTTCAGTCCCAGCCCAATCTATGGCCTCATATATATGGCCCATTGCTAGGATCCCCCACTGGAAGTCTCTCCGAGGAAGTACATCCGCCGGGGGTGGGGGGACAGGGGTGGGGTTGGGGAGAGGGTCTCTGCTTCCTTGAAAGGCCCTGTCACCGCCACCATGCAGATGTCAGGCAGGCACAGCGCCAGCACACAACCTTTTCCTCACAGCCCAAAGACCCCAGTCCAGAGGAACACTTGAAAAGTTTCTGAATCACTGGCTCCGGTTTCCCCACCTCGGCTCCGGAAGGGCTGCGCACACCCAGACACCGAATTTTCTTAACGATTCCGCCCCTGTTAGCCCCGGAGACTGCAGTGTCTGCTTTTTCCCTCCCCGTTCCTGGGCCTCAGTGGGACCCAGTCACAACTTTCTAAAGCCCGGGGAGTTAGTTGTCCCCTGCTGTGGCCTTTGGGGACTCCCTTTCATGGTGGAAGGAGCTGCGAGGCCGGCAAAGAACCCATTCTGGTTTAAAAGTTTCTAACCCTGAGTTCGCTGCATTTCGGAGTGTGCAGAGTGGTGGGCATGATGGTGCTGAGATCCTCGCCTGGGACTTGTGCGGTGACCTGGGTGTGGGTACCAGACAGATGGGAATCTAGCTAGTATCAGGGGGTGGGGGTTCCCCTCTCAGGGAACTTCCCTCCCGCCCTCCGCTGGTCCCCTTCTTCTCTTAAAGTTTGCGCTCTCCGGGCTGTGGTCGGCTCCCAACTGGGGCCCAGGAGGCGGTGCTGGGACACGAGCGCCCCACTTACCCCTACCGAGCCTCCTCCTCCCGGCGGCCAGATCCGATTCTCCTGAGGCCAGCGTCCAGCGCGGGGCAGCATCCGCCCCCAAGTGAGACCTCGGCTCAGAAGATGCTGGGGCCCTGCTCCCTACGGCGCCCACTCTGCGTCCCGGGCCAGTGCAGGGAGGGAGGCGCGGCCGGTCCGGTCCCTTCGCTAGGCGGGAAGCGGCGCCAGGCGGGCAGTGTCCCAGCCCGTAAACGATCGGTCGGTCCTGCCCATGGCCCCGAACCCGCTAGCGATCGGCGGCGGCTTCCTGAACCGCAGCCAAGGCTCCAGGAGCCCCGCGCCCCTCCACCGCGCTCCTCGCCTCACTCCACACGCGCACCCGGCAACTTGGGGACGTTCAGAGAAGTTGGCGCGGCCGCCCACCCGGCCTCTTGGAGAGGATGGAGGAGGCGGAGGACGCAGGGAGGAGGGAGGAGCCGGGAGGAAGGGCTGTAGCCCCCCTTCACACACACCCCCGGGAGCCTCGCACTCCAAGACCCCTCTGTGGGCCTTTGTTTCCGACGTGGCCACGTCCCCGGGGACTCGCCTAGGCTGCTCTTATCGCTACCCTTGAGGCTGAGTAGGGCTCTGAGCCCCAGGGAAGGGAGTTCAGGCAGAGGCTGCATGGAGAGCTGCATTGCTGCACCCACAAGCTGCTGCCCACCCTCAGGGCTGAGCATAAGGCTCTTCCTGTCCCTCTGTGGCAGAGGAAGCTAAAAGGACGCTCTTTAGGGGGGGGATTTCGGGAAAGTCACTGCACTCCTTCCCTTCCCTAGACAGCAACAGGTCACTGAAGTGACCTCAGTCTCTTCTCACATAGCCTCCAGGGCAAGACATAGGGCGAGTCCTCACCAAATTACGCAAAAGGAGCTCGGCATTATCGTAAGATCCCCTTGGACTGAGGGCACCCCTGAGGTGGGGGCATGTGCAAACACAAAACACTAGATGTAAAACCTAATCTTTGTTGCACTGGGTTTTAAACCAAGGGCTTCATACATCATAGGCAAGCACTCTACCAGTGGATTACATTTCTTTTTGTTTGTTTTTTAGAGACAGGTTTTCTCTGTGTAGTCCCTGACTGTCCCAGAATTTGCTTTGTAGACCAGGCTAGGCTTGCATTCACAGAGATCCTCCTGCCTCTGTCTGAGTGCCGGGCGGCAGTGGCTAGCTGGGTAGAGAGTAGTGCTGGGTCTTGAAAAAAGGCCAGTGTTGCTAAGATCACTGTAACTGTGTAACAGGAAAAAAGGCCAGTGTCGCTAAGATCACTGTAACTGTGTAACGGGAAAAAAGGCCAGTGTCGCTAAGATCACTGTAACTGTGTAAACGGGCTCAGACACTAGCAGAACCTCAGTGTATATGTTCCAATCCTGGCAATGCAGTATGTCTTTGATGCTACTCTGCCCAGATTTCTTTCCAGGATTTCATAGTTCTCTGCCCCCAGCTAAATCCAGGCCTCAGACATTTCATGGTCTCCCGTGAGGCTTAGACAGAACGGGCAATTTTCTATAAAGGAGAAGTGAGAAATTTTTTAAGTAAATAAATAAAAGGTAATTTACAAACATGCCCTTGCCCTCCCCCTGCTTGTTATGTTGAACATTTATTTACATCAGAGGCAGACAGAATGCAGTGGGACCCAGGCAAGTTCAGTTCATTCTTCTCAGCTCCCTAATTAGAAGACTGGCGGAAGAATCTGGCAGCCTGCTGGATAGCAGGGGCCTGATCAAACTGCCCTCCACTATGAGGTGAGCCCTCCAGTTTGCTTTCAGCAAAACCCACGGCCACACCTAACGTAACATCCCTGAATCTGAGGTACAGTCCAGCCAGGCACAAAGGGGTTGGTAGAGCAAGGGAGTGACAGCAATGGCCTAGTCTGCTGTAGAAAAAGGAGGAACGGGGTGAGGTGGGGTGAGGTGGGAAGGGGGAGGGAGAGGGAGATCGAGGTAGAGGAGCAGGATACCAAATGAACCCTGTTAGTTTAAGAAAATACAAGACGGGCTGGGCATGACAGCATTCACCTGCAGTTCCAGCAAGAGGTGTGAGTATCTCTATGAGTTCCAGGACAGCCAGGGTTACATACTAAAACTGCAAAGAAAGGAAGGAAGAAAGGAAGGGGGGAAGGAAGGAGGGAAGGAAGGGAGGAAGGAAGGAAGGAGGGAAGGAAGGAAGGAGGGAAGGAAGGAGGGAAGGAAGAAAGGAAGGGAGGGAGGAAGGAAGGGAGGGAGGAAGGAAGGAAGAAGGGAAGGAAGGGAAGGGAGGAAGGAAGGGAGGGAGGAAGGAAGGGAGGAAGGAAGGAAGGAGGGAAGGAAGGAAGGAGGGAAGGGAGGAAGGAGGGAAGGGAGGAAGAAAGGAAGGGAGGAAGAAGGGAAGGAAGGAAGGAGGGAAGGGAGGAAGGAGGGAAGGGAGGAAGAAAGGAAGGAGATAACAAGGGACACACGAACACTGTATTTGGTGGCTAGCATGGTTTATTTGTATGCTTGGGTTTTCTTGTTCATGTTTGCTTGCTTTTATTTTGAGACATGGTTTTACTGTGCAGCCCTGGCTAGCCTGGAACACTGCGTAGATAGACTAAGATGGCCTCAAACCTGCTTTACCTTGAGTGCTGGGATTAAAGTCACATACTACCATGCCCAGTTCCCTCCTTCCATTTTGAGAATTTGTTTTGTGTGTTTGTTTGTTTGTTTCCTTTGAGTCAGTATCTCAATATGTAGTCCTGATAGGCCTGGAACTCCTCATGTAGACCAAGCTGACCTCCCTGCCTCTGCTTTCCTAGGGACCCCTTAAAGAAATAAAATCAGGGATCAGGAGACTTTATTCGGAAAAAGAAACCAATCCCCGACTGGGGAAATGGGCCAGTGATCAGGGAAAGCACATGTTCCAAGAGCTTTCTCGAGTCTCTAGCCCAGTTTAACCTCAAATTTGCTATGTAGGCAGGGCTGGCCATGAACCCTTCCCGCTCTACCTCCCATACACCAACATGCCTAGATCTTGTTTGTTTCTTGAGACAGGGTCTCACTATGGAGTCCTAGCCGATCTTATTATCCCCATTAGTCCTGACAGCCTCCCATGTTTGTGACAATTCTTCTGCCTCAGTCTCTTGAGCACTGGTGTTACAGAATCTGCCACCACAGCCTGGCTAACATCCTTAAGAGACTGACGTCATCCAGTGTCTGGAAAATTCTACGGATGACAGACTCAGGCTTCACAACTACCACCAAATAAAAATTGCAAAGGGAAAAGGAGGGAGGTCAGAAAGGAAAACAGGAAACAGATTAAAAGAGATGGGGGTGGGTAGTGGCGCACACCTTTAATCCCAGCACTTGGGAGGCAGAGGAAGGCGGATCTCTGTAAGTTCAAGGCCGGGCTGGACCAACGGCCTCCAAAACAATACAGAGAAACCCTGTCTCGTAAAACCAAAAAAAAAAAAAAAAAAAAAAAAAAAAAAGAGATGGGGGATTTATAGGGCATTGTGTTGGAAAGGTTGTCTTTGTTTGTTTGACTTCAGTACTAGGTCTCCCATAGGTCAGGCAGGTACACTGCCAATAACCTACATCCCTTTTATTTTCCACTTTTTAAATAAAAAAGTGGTTTTTGCTGTTTTGTTTTTGTTGTTTTTTGTTTTGTATTTTGCTGGACTGTAGTAGTGCTCACCCTTGATCCCAGCACTGAGGAGGCAGAGGCAGGTGGGTTTCTGTGTGTTCAAGGCCAGCCTGGTCTAAAGAGTGAGTTCCAGGACAGGCAGGGCTACAGAGAAACCCTGTCTCAAAAACAAACTCTTTAAAAAATTTTTTTATTTATGTGTGCATATGCCACATGTGTGCATGTTCCCAAGGTTGCCAGAAGAGGGTGCCAGATCCCCAGGAGCTGGAATTACAGCCCCATGTCAGCCACCTGATGAGGATTCGGTCTTAGCTACTGAGCTCTCTCTCCAGTCCCTCCACCAGACTTAAAAAAAAAATAACTCTTGCAGAGGATTGGAGTTCAGTTCCCAGCACCCACATTAGGCAGTTCACAACTTCCTGTAACTGCTGTTCCCCTGGATCTGATGCCCTCTTCTGGCCTTTGTGGGCTCCTGCATGCATGTGGTGCGCATAAACTCACACAGGCACACACGCATACACATGAAAAAGTAAATCTTTAAAGGTCTGGTAGAGTTCTCTTATTTAGTTTTTTTTCCAAATTACACTTATGTATTTAGTGTGCATGCACAAACAAGCCATACCGCGCCTGTGGGGTTCAGGAGACAACTTAGGGCAGTCGGTTCTCTTCTTCCACTGTGTGGATCCTAGTGCTCCAACTCAGGTCATCAGGTTTGGTGGCAAGCACCTTAACCCACTGAGCCATCTTGCTGGCTTACTCCTGCCCCCCTTTTCCTAATTTTGGAGACAGACTTTCACTAAATTGCTTGAACTGGCTTTGAACTTTGAATTTGCCCTGTGATCTAGGCAGCCCTTGACTGTGTGGTCCTCCTGCCTCAGCCACTCTGGAGTTACAGTCCATGCCCTGCTAGACTGTAAAAATTTTAAACTTCACAGCTCTCTGTTACCTCGGTGTCCTCGTGAGAAAGATCTGAACATCCTGTCCACTATGTGGGCGTTTTAACTTGTAACCACATACTGGTTAAATGACTCAAACAAACAAGCAAAAAACTCATGCTTTTAAAGCTCAGTAAAATAATTTGGTGGGATGTAACCTCTGATGGAATTTTCAACCATTTCAGGACAGATTAAAAAATGATTCTGGCTTTGTAGAGTCCTTATCTTAAAAATTAGAGCCTGAAACACCATTGAAACGATGCGTACAATGGGCCACGTATTCTTCCAAATACTTGTTGGGGAGCAGTGGGTATGTGTGGCTGAAACCTGACGGGCCATGTCGACAGCTGAAGAGAGGAAAGATCCACTCTGCTCACTAGATCACTCATGCTCTGTATGTTTGAAATTTCCCTTAAGGATCCTAGACATTATATCCCACACCTGTAATCCCATCACTCTAGTGGAGACAAGATGGTCGGGAGTTCAAGACCAACCTTAACTAGATGGCAAGTTTGAGGTTAGCCTGCTCTACCTGAGACCTTGTCTCATAAAAAAGGGGGGGGGGACTGGAGGTACAGCTCAGCGGTAGAGTCCTTGCCTGGTAGACATGATACCCCACATTCAGTCCCAGAACCTCACAAACTAATTGTGGGGCTGGGAATGTAGCTCAGTTGGTAGAATGCTTGCCTAGCATCTCAAAAGCCCTGGGTTCAACCCCCAGAACCACATAAAATGGGTGTATTGGTGTGCCCCTGAAATGCTAGCACCTGGGCAGATGAGATGCTAAGAGTTCAAGGCCAGCCTTTTCCAAAACAAAACAAGCAAGCACAAGTTGTACTCAAGACTACCTGTTTGGGCTGAAGTGTGATGTTAGCTGGATCAAGAGGGAGCTGTAGTGGAGGAGAGCATTGTG